GGTTTTGCTATCCTGTCTTGCTTTTTGAGCAAATGCTGGACTAAGAGCCCATCCACAAATCCCTTTAGTTGTAATTTGAAGATGCCTTGTTAGTCATCCTTCAAGGACATATTTTCATTACACCGCTTTTGTCAACCCTATGCCATGAAATCACTTATTACAAGATGAGTAGTTAAATAAATTTAATAAACAAACAAAAGTAAACAGATCTTCACTGATGATGGCTAGCAGCTGAATTGAATTCATAAGTACAACCATTGGTCACCTGTGCAGTTTGTGTAGCAGAGATGTTAAATGGGTGTATCAACACATGCCTATAATTCCTCACATACTGGACCAGCTGTAACTTCCTGGAGATCTTTAAGGGCAATAGGTAGTCCTCAACTTACAACTGTTCATTTAACGATCATTCAACATTACGATAGTACTGAAAAAAAGTCATGCATGACTGGTCCTTGGACTTACAATTATCACAACATCCCCATGGTCACATGATCGAAATTGGATTGCTTGCAACTGGCACCTATTTACAATGGTTGCAGCATCCCGGAATCATGTGATTGTCATTTGCAATCTTCCCAAATTGGTTTCTTACAAATAAAGTCAATGGTGAAAGCCAGATTCATATAATGCTGCGTGATTTACTTAACATGTGCAGTTATTCACACAACATCCATGGCAAAAAGGTTTATAAAATTGAGCTGAGCTCACTTAGCAACCACCTTGCTTAGCAATGGAAATTCTGTTCCCAATTCTGGTTCTAAGTTAAGGACTATCTGTAGTTGTTGAGCTAATTGCAGTACTCCACACACAAGATTACCTAAAGAAGGACTTGCAGTCAAGAGACCAGTGTGGTTAGTGCAGTACCATAGATAAGTCTGAGCAAAGGCCCTCCTGGCTAATGCTGCCACCTGCTCTCTGAACAGAAATTGGAGAACTCTCAGATAAGAGGTCTGTCTGGAAAAGAGCTGCCCTGTTAAGAACTAAAGACAGAAAATTCATGGCCCTAGAAAAACTATGAAGACATAGCTCCTCAATGTTGTCAAGGCTGAGCTTAAGCTTGTTGCTGTTACTCAACACTGGACAAGCACTGGCAGCATCACTTGACCTCTACTGATGATACGTGAGTCTGCGAAAAACCTCGCCCAATTACTTCATGTAGTTGTTAAACAGGAGGGGTGAGAATGTCAATCCATGCAGCGACTTATAAATCAACTTGTCTCATGCCAACATCAATGGGGACTGGCCACAGAAAAAATGAGGAGAACCACTGAAACACTGTGCCTCTCATTTCCAGTTCCCACATGCAGTTGAGATGATATCATGGCTGATAGTATCAAAAACTACTGAAAGGTTAAGGAGAACCAGAATGGTTCTACCGTCCCTTCCCCATTCCATCAGAGATCATCAACAAGTGTAATCTGTCTGCCTCCATATTATGTGAATAATATGGAGAAACCCAATTAAAAAGATCCAGCTACTTCATTTCCTCCAGGGCCCACAGATATTGCAACATTACCACCTTTTCAACAATCTTTATTAACAAGGAAGGTTGGAGACTGGGCGGAAATTGTTCAGGATTGCTAGCGGTGGCAGTGAAGTCTTCTTCAGAAGAGAATTCACCACATCCTCCTTCAAGGGAAGCAAAACCAACTCCATTCTGAAAGACAAATTCTCCACCAATATGAACTCAGCCATAGTCCTTGACTTACAATTGAGTCCAAAATTTCTGTTGCTAAGCGAGAGAGTTATTAAGTGAATTTTGTCCCATGTTATGACCTTTCTTGCCACAGTTATTAAGTGAATTACTGCAGTTGTTAAGTTAGTTATATGGTTGTTAAGTGAATCTGGCTTCCCCATTGACTTTGCTTGTCAGCAGGCTGCAAAAGGTGATCACATGACCCTAGGACTCTGCAACCATCATAAATGCATGCCAGCTGCCAAACTTCCCATTTCTGATCGCATGACCATGGGGATGCTGCAACAGTTATGTGAAAAACAGTCATAAATCACTTTTTTCAGTGCCATTGTAAATTCGAATGGTCATTAAATGAATAGTTGTAAGTCGAGAACTATCTACTGATATATGTCACTTCCTAGGAAGATTTAACTAGCCAGGAGGGACAGCTAAAAGACAGGTAGCCCAATGAACCTGCCCATCTTCTCATGTTTTGAAGGAATAAAACTTCCTAGCTAAAGATAAGACAAGATTGTGACTAAGTCAATCAACTGGACTTTCCCAATTAGAGTTAATTTCAAGTGGATCTGAGCAACTTTACCCTAATATATTCCTCACAGCATCCTTGAAGATGTTCTCCCTTGCATTGAAACTGTAAAGACAGCACCCTCACCAATCTTCATTGAGGATGGAGATGTATTGTTGGGACAGAGCAAATTGTGCCAGCATTCTTTTAGTTCTGTCTCAAGGACTGTAAGGAAGCATGTTACACTGGCTGTCTGGCTGTGCCCTAACAAGATATCTTAATTTGCTGCTGCCTCCAAAAATGGGAGAATGAAAATATTCCATGAAGATATTTATCACATTTGCACAAGAAAGGACATCACTGACTGCTTCACCCATAAGCACATATTACAAAGTCTAATCAATTAATCTTTCCAAATCAGGACACTCTACCTGGGCTTGAATTAAACCACCAGGCTAGAAACCAGTAAGTCTGTGAGTTCTAGTCCCATTTTAGACAAGTGGCTGGGTTATTTTGGGCCAACCACTCTCTCTTAGTCCAACCCGTCTCACAGAGCTGTTGTTGTAGGGGAAATAAGAGGAGGAAGGAGTATTATGTATGTTGGCTACTTGTGTTATTTGAAAAATAATAAAAAAATAAATAAATAAATTGCTGTAATTTAAAACCAGCATAACCAAATATTTTTAGCTGGGAATAACTTGATCACAAAAGCAATGTATCTGAGGGACATAGGTTGGGAAATGTTAACTGAAGAAACAGCAGAGAGAAAATATGAATACCCAATAGTCTTATAGTACAATATGTGGTATTCATAAGTTTTGTAGTTCTGCTGTTTTGTTTGGTATTTATACATGGGATGGACAGGAAGGAAAGAAAAAACAAGTAGCCCTCCAGAAATACTTATTGTTGCCATATTTGTTTAATTTGCTATGTCTCCAAGATTTGTGATATCCCAGGCTACATTGTTTGAAGCAAAGTGCATTTTTAGGATGATTTGGAAGGAGGGAAAGAATTGATGTCCCCTAAACTTTGGCACCTGAGGCCAGTGCCTATTCAGTCTTAGATCCATGCCAGGCCCAGTATCCAAGCATTTCAAGCAGAGACGGGCTTCTCAGCCAGTTTCCTACCCAAATAGGCCAACCTGTTTAAATTTAAAAATATATTTCTATCATACACTTTCAGACCAATTTTGGAATTACCCTTTTCCTGTTTCCTCTGTCCATTGTCCATGTACTTAAAAGAAGGATCTATATATGAGCAGACTCATACCCGATGTGCATAGAAAGCCTCCTGACCTTTCTTTGGTCCCTTTTCAAGGTACAAAAAGGACACAAAACTAATCATTTTTACATATTTGAGGATCTTGCACGCAAGCAAACTCTCATTTTTTAATGCCTCAATGAGTGTATTCTGAGTATACTCTGATGTGAAGCACCTTCAAAGAGAGTCTGGATCAAATGTATTCCTGAATGAACTCATTAGAATGGATAAACCATCTGACTGATAGATTTAAAAAATTGCATTCAAAAATATTGTCTTTTATACTACATATTATATAATACAATATAATGGATATTAAAATATTTATGTTTACCTGCATAGTACCCATCACAAACAGTACCAGATGTTATATAAACACATGTGGATTCAACTCACTCACTTACTCTCTCATAAATGCACAATACCATTACTTACAAGCATAATGTACATGTACTACCACTGCATCTATCTCTTTATAATAAATATAGAATATTATTATTTACAAATACAATCAACATTACCCTGAAACGTGTTAATGCACTGTATGAACTATGCCACATTTTTGAATGTGTATCATGCATTTTTTCCTATAAGAATGTATAAACCATCTAATAGGGCTTTTTTCAGGGGTATATTCGGTGTTGATATGTAGGCAGGAAATTATGCATTTTGTAGTTTAACACTTTTACAGGACATCAGATTAGGGAAAATACATAAAATCATACTGAAAAGGCCCATTGCACACCATGTTCCAATCATGACAATGTTTAAAACAAATATTTTGAAGGTTATTCCTTCAATCTGCCAGCACTAGGACTCTTCCCTCCTCCACAAATCTCAGCAGTCACACTTCATAAGAATACCATAAAACTCCATGTTTTCATGCTTTCTTCAACCTGATAGCCCCATAATTCATTTTGAATTCAGCCATCCCACATACACATAATAAACTAAGTCAAGCACAAGACTGAATACCAGAGAGAGAAGATGCCCCATCACTCTTAAGCCGATAAACACCTCAACCCAAAATGGCTGCCTTCCCTGTTTCTACCCAGGAACTCAGGAGTGAGAAATTTTTCACATTTGGGAGAGTAAATTTGGCAGGGAAATCATAACTTATGAGTTGAAAAGAAAAGCAGCAAAGGAGCAGAAGTAAAGATTCAGAAACAATACTATACCAAGTATTTTTAACAAACTGTGGTATTTGAGGTTATATAACATGTAAATTGCACACACATGTATTTGTTCCAAAGGACATATGGATGGTAGTATTTCCCCTGAACAAATTTCCCACAAATTGGTCTTTCTTTTCATTGGCTGGGGTGAATTCTGTTCTCCACAATCAGTTATTTTAATTGAAACCACATCTTACTCCATAATCCAGTAGCCTTTATGCGGGCATATATACAACTGAGGCATACTCAAATTTCACAAAATCTGAGGATGCGTTTGTCTCTTAAGAATGAAAAAAAAACCCCTCACTTGCATTGTTTCATATATCATACATATTAGCAGAATTATTATAATCATAATTACCTGGAATCCTCTGATACTGAAATTTGCAACTGAACAGAGCAGGACAGTACTTGACTAAAAGTGATGCTAAACCAGTAATTGGGTAAATTAGTTATATGTGAAGTAGGTTTGATCCATCTGCAATGATTGAAAATATTATGTTATCCAGGAAGGGAGGAGAAATAGAAAAAAAATATTCTCAAAGAATCCAATGTCAAATGCAAATGAGGCTACTTATACGAATATATCAAGATTGCATCCTAATATATTAACCAAAACCTAACATGGGGGAAGGAGGAGGGGAGAGGAGTCAATAAGGAAAACATATATATAAATCCAAAAACATTTGTAATCTAATTATTCATTCAAAACTTTTTGTGCATAAAATACAGTTCTAGAACAATGGATTTCCAATCCCAGTATTGTTCCACACCCATTTCTCCACTTATGTTTTTCTAGGTTCCAAGCTGTGTACCTACCAGTTTACTCGAATCAAGTAGTCTTGTGCCGCATAACTTTTTCAATCCTTTGTTTAGCTTGCTTGCTGCCCAGTTTTAATTTTGCTTCCTTGGTGGCACTTCTTGACGTGCCCTACCTTGGAGTTCCTTTATTCCTTTTCCCAGTTTGTGAATCGCTGTGCTTTTGCCAACCTTCTTTGGATAGCTGATTTCCAACCTCCCTTTCTCTAGGCAATGCCCACCATGTTGTGCCCTGAGAGGTGCCTGGTTTCTCTTGCACATTCACTCAGGGATGCCCAGTTTAGATCCCTGCTCCCATGCTACCTTCACAATCCAATACTATTAACACTTTCACTCTTTAACATCTTACCTTTTCATTCAACAATCCCATTCAAACACATCCTTTTTTGCAGCAGCTTTTTGGAGGTCTTAACATCCCCTCAAGTTTTACCCACTGTCTTCTGGTGCTCACCCAAAATGGGCTCCCCAAAATAGAATTGCTGCCCTTTGCGTGCCTACTGCTCATACCCACTCACTCTTGCTCTGTGCTATGAATGACTTTGGGGCGGCTGTTGTTCAAGAATAAATATCATTTCTGGAAACTGAGATGGGAGGGAGTCTGGGATGCGCTGGGGGGGAAAGGAATACTGCTGTGACATTTGTGCTAAGTTGTCGTGTCAGATTTGAACTTAATTCCCTCCAATGGATCAAGGGTGGGAGGGGGTAGAGCAGGGAGAGATGTCCCCAGTTATACAGCCATGTGTTGTTGCTTACAGAAATCATAGAGAAGGAGCCTGTCAGAGCTGGTCAGGGCTAGAGGGTATGGTGAGGAAAGGGAGGGGGGAAATGGGACAGATGCCACAGACAAGCATGAGATGTACCTTGTACAAATGGCTGCAGGGACAGAAGAGAAAGAGAAACCAGTATGCTTTTTCTAGCCCTTCCCATCTTTCCTTCCCATCTTCTTCCAGCCTTTCCCATCTTTGCCGCTTAGCTCTTGTCCTTAAGCATTATCAGGTCTCTCTCCTTTTAACCAAAGAGGCCCCAAAGGTTCCAAGATCATCTTAAAAAAGCCAAGGAGTCTTCATCCTGAATTCTGCTCAGAACAGCTAAATTCAGAATTCTCACTACAGCAACTCAGATTATTGATTTCCAATGCCTGGCATGTATACTTGCCCAATCTTCCTTTCAGATGTCATAAATGAAACCAGTTTTTATTGTATCTCCTTTGGGATTTCCATTCTCCAAGTCACACTCTCCCACCATAAAGCTGAGAATGGGCATCGTGGTGCCTAAGTGATTTAGGGTAAACAATGAGATGACCTTGATCAGAAGCAATTAAAATGGAGCTTCTTGATATAGGGCAACTCAACCTGAGGGAAATACAGTAGGTTGTGAATAGATTACAAGCAATTAGCCTGATGGGGGATGCTTTTACACAAGGAGTAGGGGGACAGCTAGCAAGAAGAACCTCCTAATCTACTGAACTTGTTATCAAAATAAATGATGCATTTATCCTCTAGAGCTTTCTTTGCAGCTTTTTATTAAGTTGCTGAATAGGTGAATGGAACATCATTTGCCCTTATTTAGTTCATTTTAGTTCTTGTAAATTCACATGGGAGAAGTTAGTCCTGTGTGGAAGGTCTATATAAGGCTCCTTGATCTGGGTTGCAAAAAGAAAATCAGCTGATCACTAGATAGCAGTAAAGATATACTGTAATTATTTGCATATCTGCTGCCATCTAGAGATTCTCTAAATTTTTGCAGTTCTGGAGGTAGGAGCCATAGACGGATGAGTGTACTGAACGAAAGCAAGGGAAGGCAAATCAAACTCTGTTCAGACAATAAATGGCTGATTAGATACCTCTGCAAAAACTGTAGTTAAAGTCTAAAGGCAACAGAAATTCCCATTGCAACTGATTTTATTCTTTTTAAATATGGATATTTATAACTTATCAGCCATTGGTTTGCAAAAGAAGAAACAAAACACTGTGTTATTTTTTTCCTTTCTTCCTTTATTTAATGTTAGAAACTATTTTTTCTTCCAAATAATTTTAGGTGGCATACAGGTTATCCTTATAATAATTTTATAAAGTGTTAGCTGAGGACTGACTCCAGGGTTTTGTGTGACTGCGTAAATCTGGATCTCACCTATCTAATACAATGTTCTAATCATGAAAACTGGGACAGAATGTACCAACTTGTATGAAAGAAAGCCTATATGGTTAATAGATCCACTAAAAAATCGCCAGGAGACAATCTGGTTTGGTTGGTGGGGTGGGTAGATATAAGTATCATAGAGTGATTCCAAATCACTCCAGAACTTTGTTGGGTTTTTTTTTTTGTAGTAACCTGAAATGCATCCAGTGAAGCTGAGATTTTAAAAAATGAGTTCATACAGAATTAAATATCTGTACGCAGGAATTGACTCACTGTTCCGGGTCTTAATAAAGCTCATAATTTTCCACTAAAATTCCCAGGTGTCCCAAGCTTACTTTATTACAACAGTTTAATTCTAAGAGGAATGGATATTACTGTACTCTGTTACTGCTGCAATGATTATAAGAGCCGGGAATCAGAAATCCTGGTGGATCTAGGGCAAACCAATCTGAGATCTACTACCGGTGGTTACAAATTTACCTGTGACTTAAATGAAAAAAAAACGAACAAACAAACAATTCTGATGCAGGGCATTGCAGGACAGGGCAATTAAGGGAAAGGGGATGGAGAAGTCCTCTGGACACAACTAAGTGTCTAATGATAGGCATTTTGACAAAATTGTTTTATTAAAACTGTATCCAGAGGTTGTGGATCCAACACAGGTCTTTAAGAGATTGGCAACCATTAGTCTGAAATGGTATAGGATCTCCTGCTTGAGGAGAGGGTTGGATTAGAAGACCTCTAAGGTCCCTTCCAACTGTTATTCTGCTATTCAACTAAGTGTCTACTGATAGATATATTGGCAAAAATTGCCATGTTAAAAGTGTAGAGACGGGGAAATAGGAGTTCTTAGAAAGTCTAGGAGAGGCAGTGGTCTGTACCTTAACTGGGTATATCTTTGTGAAGAGGTAAGAGTATCCAAATGACTTCAGAGGCAGAGAGGCTGAGGCTAAGTACATATTTCTGTTGCTGCCACAGCCATCAATTAAAAATGCAAAGCAGATTGACTCATGTGGAAGGGGGCTTGGGGGGAGCCAGGGAATGTCAGGCTTCATCTATCTGTCCAGCAAGATATGATAGGGAGGGAAGAAGGTGACATGACAAGCGGGGTGATGCCTGTAGGGCTACATAACTGAAGAGGTTGAGCAATGGACCCTGTCCCACTTTTTAAAAGCAAAAGCAAACCTTTGCAGATCCAAGAATGTCAAGACCCTCAGAGAACCCAATATACCCTTCTCTAATCTAGTTATGCATTGGAAGTAAAGCCTTCTTCCGACACTTGTAAAATATATTCCCCATTGTAACACAGAAGCACTGTACTGCACCCCATAGAAAGGGGGCCCTGGCATATCCCTTACCTCAATCCTTGCCCTTCCTTGGTTTGCACTGGCCCCATCTCCTCCCTCTCTTAACCCTACAACAACAATTCAGGTCCATCGCTTCAGATTATTTCTTGCTTCTGACAGTATCATGATTTTGTTAATTGAAACATTAAAGTACTCCCTTTCATAGCCCTGACTTTACCCTGTCTTCAGCGAATGCTTGTCAAAGCTGGGTCAGAAATAGAGGGGGAGGAAATAGTGTGCAGGGCAAGGCACATAAGATTCTCAACTGCATCCCTCGGGGCCTGTGAAAAAGATGGAATTTCAAGAGCAGCCAGTGATTTCATGACCCAGGAATAGTTGGGTAAAGCAGAAGCACAACTAGACAAGATGGGTGTGATAGCCAGGAAGTGAATACATAAAGAGAACCAAAGCAGTGTTGAAGACTGAACAGAGAGGGGGGTGGGGAAAGGGACAATTATAACAAATACTAAGAAAACAATCTCCTTGCACATGGCATAAAAGGTAATGGTAAAGATTCCCCTCACACATATGTGCTAGTCGTTCCCAACTCTAGGGGGCGGTACCTATCTCTGTTTCAAAGCCGAAGAGCCAGCGCTGTCCTGAAGACGTCTCTGTGGTCTTGTGGCCAGCATGACTAAACGCCAAAGGCGCACAGAACACAGTTACCTTCCCACCAAAGGTGGTCCCTATTTTTCTACTTGCATTTTTTATGTGCTTTCGAACTATTAGGTTGGCAGAAGCTGGGACAAGTAACGGGAGCTCAACCCGTTATGTGGCACTAGGGGTTCGAACCGCTGAACTGCCGACCTTTCGATCGACAAGCTCAGCGTCTTAGTCACTGAGCCACCACATCCCTATGTCCCTATGCACATGGCATAGGACCAGGTTATTTGCAGAACCACCTGTTCATAGGATCTCTGTCAGACCCACATATTTCAACAAGTCTCCTCCCTGAAGGAAAGCCAGTTTATGAGAACTTTGAGGTATGCCTTCTTGGTAGTAACCTCTGATTTTTGGAATTATCTGCCCTCCCAATATACAATTGGTACCAACCCTGCAGGTCTTTAGAAAGGCAGTCAAGAGCTGATGTCAGGCCCAAAACCAAGAATGGTATGTGATCAGTCTTCCAAATTGGGTTCTTTTATTATTTCACACCTGTACACAAAATCTTGCCAGACTGAGCCCTCTACTATGTTTCTCTCTCTGAACTGAGTTGCTTCTTACTCCTCTGGAATGCAACTCCTCCCTCCTGGAAATCCACCTCCTTACTACTACATTTTATTACATTGGCTTGTTCACAGCTCTTTGGATGAGAAGAATCCCAGTTGTTGAACTGCAGTATATTTTAGTCTGGTTGCCATATTATGATTTCAGTGGGCTTTTCATTTATTGTGTAGTATACATAGCAATAATAACTAGCTAACCAGATAACCAGCTAAACAAATAAACTAACAATATTCTTTATCTTTTCCTATTTCAAGGAACCAATGAATAAAAACTAAAGCAAATTGGTATCTATAGTTAGTTGTCAAAATGAAAGTTTTGAAAAATGTATTTTTTGCTCTACTAGTCATCTTTACATCTCTCCACATTTATACAATTAGAGATCTTTTCACTTTTTTTCCTCATGAAGTGTCTTCTAAATATAATGGACTGCAACATCTATCAATCTCCTGTAGTCTGGAGAGGTTGTGGATTGCAATTTACCACATCTGGAAAATGTCTGATTCAGGGTGAGCTGTAGCATTATAACTTGATCAACCTCCTTCAGATTTCAACACAGTATTTCTCAATTTACAATCATAATTATGACCAGAATTTTTATCGCTAAGTAAGGTTGTTGCTTAAGGCTGTTAAGTAAGTTGCACCTGAGTTTACAACCTTTTTCATCACAGTTGCTAAGTAAATCACTGCAATTGTTAAATGAATCACTATTGTTAAGTGAATCCAGTTTCTTCTATTGACTTAGCTTGTCAGAAGCTAGCTGGAAAGGTCACAAATGGCGATCACATGACCCTGGCGATCACATTACAATC